TTTCTGATTTTTTGGATTTTCAGTCCCAGAGAAAAAAACAAACGACGACGGGGCTCCCCAGGACTGGAGGATTGAAAATCAAAAAAATCAAAAAATGCAAATGAAATCACAAGGGTTCTGGGATTCTTGACCCAGAAATCCCAAAAATCCGAATGAAATAACAGGGCTTGGTGCCCCCAGGCTTCGCAACCATTGTGATTTCACAGGGACCACCAGCACCAGCACCACCACCAGCACCACCACCAGCACGAGCACGAGCACGAGCACCAGCACCAGCACCAGCACCAACACCACCACCACAACCACGCACACACGCACGCACGCACGCACGCACGTGCACCACCACCCACTACGCACGCGCGCGCGGAGCCACAGGTCCGCTACGACACGCGTCCGCGGATAGAGAAAATCAGCGCCATGGTAAGGGATGGGAGGGAGGGGTAGGACATCAGATATGACGCGAGCGCACCTAGCTTGAGTCTCTCCCCCCCTCTCTCTCTCTCTCGCTGTCCCCCTCCGTCTCTGTCTCCCCCCTTCTCCTCCTCCTCCTCCTCCTCCTCCTCCTCCTCCTCCTCCTCCTCCTCCTCCTCCTCCTCCTCCTCCTCCTTCTCTGAAGCAGAGAGAGAGGGAGAGATAGAGAGAGAGTGTGAGGGAGAGAGAGAGAGAGAGAGAGAGAGAGAGAGAGACAGAGAGAGAGAGGGGGGAGACTCGAGGGAGCAGCGATCCCTGTGAAATCACAATGTTTGCGAAGCCTGGGGGGCACCAAACCCTGTTATTTCATTGGGATGTTTGGGATTTCTGGGTCAATAATCCCAGAACCCTTGTGATATCTTCGGGATTTTCTGGATTTTGGGGATTTTCAGTCCCAGAGAAAAAAACACAAACGACGACGGGGCTCTCCAGGACTGGAGGGTGGAAAATCCAAAAAATCCCAAACATCCCAATGCCATCACAGGGGTTCTGGGATTCTTGACCCAGAAATCCCCAACATCCCAACGAAATAACAGGGCTTGGTGCCCCCAGGCTTCGCAAACATTGTGATTTCACAGGGGTCGCCGCTCCCTCGAATCTCTCCCTCTCTCTCGCTGCCCCCCTCCGTCTCTCTCTCTCGCTGTCCCCCTCCGTCTCTGTCTCCCCCTTCTTCTCCTCCTCCTCCTCCTCCTCCTCCTCCTCCTCCTCCTCCTCCTCCTCCTCCTCCTTCTCTGAAGCAGAGAGAGAGAGAAGAGTGTGAGGGGGGGGGAGAGAGAGAGAGAGAGAGAGAGAGAGAGAGAGAGAGAGAGAGAGAGAGAGAGAGAGAGGGGGGGGAGACTCGAGGGAGCGGCGATCCTTGTGAAACCAATATGTTTGCGAAGCCTGGGGGCACCAAACCCTGTTATTTCATTGGGATGTTTGGGATTCCTGGGTCAAGAATCCCAGAACCCCTGTGATCTCATTGGGATTTTTGGGGTTTTGGGGATTTCCTGTCCCAGAGGAAAAAAATAAACGACGACGGGGCTCCCCAGGACTGGAGGATTGAACATCCCCAACATCCCAACAATCCCAATGACATCACAAGGGTCCTGGGATTCTTGACCCAGAAATCCCAAACATCCCAATGGCATAACAGGGTTTGGTGCCCCCAGGCTTCGCAAACATGGTGATTTCACAAGGATCGCCGCTCCCTCGAATCTCCCCCCCTCTCTCTCTCTCTCTCTCTCGCTGTCCCCCTCCGTCTCTGTCTCCCCCCTCCTCCTCCTCCTCCTCCTCCTCCTCCTCCTCCTCCTCCTCCTCCTCCTCCTCCTCCTGTGAACCAGAGGAAGGTACAGAGAGAGAGAGAGAGGGAGAGAGAGAGAGAGAGAAAGAGAGAGAGAGAGGGAGTGAACCGTTCAACGACCGATGCAAAATGAATGGGTGCTGGGGGGGGGGGGGCTGCGCATATACTTAGATATCTACATACATATATATATATAACTACATACGTACACGTACGTCTATACATAGATATAGACATAATCACATATAAACAAACCAATTGAGCGATGCAGTCTACGTGGTGGAAATACTGTGGTGGAATCTAGATGGAGCAATCAATGTGGGGCAATCGATGTGATGCAAACCTGTGCAAAGCAATGCAAAGCAAAGCATGGCAGCGCAAATCAAGTCAATGCAATGCAAAGCAAGCAACGCAATGCAACGCTATGCCTCGCATTGCGAATCCATGCAACACAATGCAAACCAATGCAACGCAACACACGTCAACGGAACGAAACGCAATTCGACATAACACAAAGCAACGCAACGAAACGCAACGCAATGCGCAGCAATGCAAAGCAATGCGTTGCGATGCGAGACAATACAAGCCAATGCAAGCCAATGCAAAACAATTCGAATACATGCAGCGCAATGCAAATATACCTATACGACCACCCTTCGGGTGATAAGGAGGGTGTTGGGGGGGGAGAGGGGGGAACCAACATCTGACTCAATCGATCTCACTATCGATCTCACTCAACGGGACACCACGGGACGCCAAAGGACACCACGGGACACTTGCCGATCTCACTATCGATCTCACTATCGATCTCACTCAACGGGACACCACGGGACACCACGGGCCACCACGGGACACCACGGGACACCACGGGACACCTCTCGATCTCACTATCGGTCCCGCTATCGATCTCACTATCGATCTCACTCAACGGGACACCATGTGACACCGCGGGACACTTGTCGATCTCACTATCGATCTCACTATCGATCTCACTCAACGGGACAAAACGGGATACCACGGGTGTCGATCTCACCATCGATCTCACTCAACTGGGCCACAGGACACCTCGGGGCACCACATCGATCTCACTATCGATCTCACTCAACGAGACACCACGGGACACCACGGGATACCGCGGGACACGTGTCGATCTCACTATCGATCTCACTATCGATCTCACTCAACGGGACACCACGGGCGACCACGGGACACCGCTAGGGCCACCGCCGGACGGAGGATAATCATTTGTCTTGACTTCGCCGTAGCAGCGGCGGACACCACGGGACACCACGGGACACCACGGGACACCGCGGGACACCGCTAGGGCCGCCGCCGGACGGACGGACGGACGGACGGAGAAACATTTGTCTTGACTTCGCCCTAGCAACGGCGGGTTCATGCCTCTCGCGCGCCCACGCAGCTTCGCCTCGCCCGCACGCACAACACGAACGAAACGAAACGATTTCCCGGTTGGGGTTTCCGCTCCACTGCGATCTCACCCCCCAACCTCCGATGTTACACAATACAAGGCAACACAAGGCACCGCAATACCAAACAGCACAACCCGATGCAAATCCTTGCAATGCGATGCAATGCAAATCCAATGCGCAGCAAGGCGAAGTCATGCAAAGCTTGCGGTGCGAACGGGGGGGGGGTGCAACGGGGCGGCGACGGACGGGAACAGGGCCGTTGGGCCGACAGAAGCGCCTTCCATTGGGAAACAGAGGGCGGCGACGGACTGGAACGGGGACGCCGGGCCAGTAGGAGGGCCAGTTCACTGGGGGGAAGTAAGAATCCGTAAGTGCAAGCAAGCACTGTTTTGGGAAGATGCATATTTCCACCATATCCATATACATTCATATATACATATGTACAAATGTGTGTATATCTGTGTATATATATACACATATACATATATACATATATACATATATATATATATATATATGTATATATATATATATATATATATATATATATATATCGGAGGTTGGGGGGTGAGTCCGACCCTCCCTACCGGGAAATCGATTTCGGTTTCGGGTTCGTGTCGTGCGTGCCGTGCGTGCGCGCGTGCGGGCGAGGCGAAGCTGCGTGGGCGGGCGAGAGGAAATCCTCCTGTGGCTGGGCCGCGGCCGGACCAAATGATTCTCCTCCGGCGGCCGGTGGCCCGCGGTGTCCCGCCGGTGTCCCGCTGGTGTACAGAAATCCTCCTGTGGCTGGGCCGCGGCCGGACCAAATGATTCTCCTCCGGCGGCCGGTGGCCCGCGGTGTCCCGCCGGTGTCCCGCTGGTGTACAGAAATCCTCCTGTGGCTGGGCCGCGGCCCGACCAAATGATTCTCCTCTGGCGGCCGGTGGCCCGCGGTGTCCCGCCGGTGTCCCGTCGTGGGTTGCGCATTTCAAAACATCGCCGCTTGCGGCGAGCTATCCAATGCAAGTCTGCATGCAGACCGACATGCAGACCGAAAAGCACATCGAAATGCAAATCGATTTGCACATCCAAGTGCAAATCGGAAGGCGCCGTAGGCGCCGCGAGCCGTCACTGTGGCACCGCAGCGCGCACGTGCGAGCACGTCGACTAGCGCTGAGGTGAGGTTTGCGCGATTGATAAGCGCACGCGGGGACAGCGCTTCACGGCAATGTCGAGTGCGCTTCGCCATCATCGCCACATCACATCACGCTCACGTGCACAATCGCACTACTCACTAGACTCCGCCCCACACGCATCGTCAGAACAACAATCACCACTTTTGCCCATTGCTGCCCCCCCCCAACCTCCTTATCACCCGCAGGGTGGTCGTATAGGTATATGTGGCCCCCGCTGTGATCCCGAATCGGCCCTTCATGGCTTCAAGACTGCCCCAGATGGCCCCAAGAGGCCCCCCGGAGGCCCCAAGAGGGACCTCATGAGGCGTCCTCCTCCTGTTCGTCCTCTTCCTTCTCCCTGTGTAGGAGGAACGCCCGGTGCAATTGCTTGGCCAAGCTTTCGCCTCAAGTTTGGCCACATGGGTGTTTCCAGGTAGGCCAGGGGCGGCGTTGGCTCGCCGCAGGCGTATTCCGTATTCGACCGGTGCTAATTTAGTTTGCAAGCTGACATGAACACTTAGGCTAAACGTCGACCTTCGAATTCTACCGTATGAGCTGCGTCAGCTGTCATGGTGACACCCTCGGCATCTCAAGTTGCAGCCTATGTTAGCACGTTTTAACACTTAGGAGGTAGTAACAACATAACAACGGGGGCCGTGGCGCCTGATAGCATCCAACATAATCCGCGCAAGTGGTGCGGCAAGTCTCTGCTGCCTCCTGCCCTAGAACACCGTCCACGCCGCAGAAGCCTTCGTCGAACAGCCTCTGGCAGCTGAATTGTGAGCGCCGGCGGTTGGTGTGGTCGGACTCGCATGGCGGCAAGCACCCATGGGTGTCGTAGCAGGTGGTGCGGCACGTCTCTTCCATCTCCAGCCCAAGGGGCCCGTCCGTTCCGCACAGCCCCCCGTTGAACATCTCCAGGCAGCTGAAAGGGGATCGCCGACGGCTCGTCTCATCGGCCTCGCAAGGCCCGCGGCAGCCCACTCCGCAGCTCATCTGGCAAGTCTCGCGGGCCTCGTCTCCTAGGCTCCCGACCTTGTCGCAGAAGCCATTGTCCTTGATCTGCCTGCAGCTGAAAGGGCTCCGCCGCCGGCTCGCGTCGTCCGCCTTGCACGCCGGGAGCGCCCCCGTGGCAGAGGCGCTGGGGAGGGCCGGGGCGAGGGACGCAGCCAGGAGAAGCGCCTGGCACGCAGCGGCGGGCGCCTGCCAGGGGCGCATCGCGCCGTGGAGGCACTGCCTGCGGAGGTAGGCAAACACCCTCGCCCCCCGAGCCAGGGTCGCTGCGGCGGGAGAAGAGGATGCCTACCGAGGAGGACGGGCGAGGAGGAGGGAGGGGGAGGGACGCTTCGGGGACAGCCCAAGAGGCGGACGGGCCTCCCCGGGTTTCCAGGCCTCCTCCTCCTCCTCCTGCTGGGTCTCGCCAAACTTCTTCGGACCTGCTCTGCAGGTCCTGCCCACAGCACTTTGCGGAGTTCCAGGGTCTCTCGCCGAGGTCTCGCGGCCGGTGGGCCACGGGGCGCTCACGGCAGCGCGGGCACTGGGGATGCCCGCCCGTGGCTGCCGAGGAAGGGGATCGGGGAAGGGGAGAGGCCCAAACCTCCCGTGGTGGCGGCAAGATCACGACGAGATCTTCTTCTGTTTTTGTTCAGCCTCCAAGCGCCCTCGCCGTCCCCACGGACCGTCAGGGCCCAAGGGAGAAGGTTCCAACCTCTGGGGAACCACCCTGCAGACAATCGCGACGTCGGAGGCCGGCGTAATGGACAAGGGGGGGCGGGAGGGACAGGGAGGGAAGGGAGGCGCGAGGGGGAGGCGAACGCGAGGTGGTGGGGATTCATCCACAGCCACCGCCTGGGAATCGACGTCCTGGGGACCCAGCGGGCGGTGGATATGGATATATTCCGGCCCCCGGGGGCCCGAATATACCCATATCCCCCGCCTGTGGAGGTCCGCGAGCATTGATCCTCCAGGCTGTGGATATATATCCCCGACTCGAAGTGAACGGGGAGGGACTTGAAGGAGGAAGTGGCAGTGGAAGTGGAGGGTACATTTTTCGTCGCCTTAAGCGGCGACAGTAAAAGTGGCGGCGGTGCCCACCAGCAGATGTTGTCCCGAAGTGACGGCGATCGCGGTTGGGCGGTCGTTTCTCGCAACAGGCTAACAGCGTTCGCAGCGGTTCCGGGAGTAAGTATATAAGTCATATGACTCATTAGATCTAGAAGGAATGTTGTCAAGACGTTATAATTTCATAATATGGGTTACGTTGCTAAATCGTTCGGCGTATGTTTCGCTTGTGTCCGTGACGTTTACTTTATAAGTGCAGTTCTGTTTTATTGAAAGTGTTACTAATTGTATGTTTTACGTGCTACTTTCGATGTTTCTATGTTTGTTACGTTGCATTGTCATACGAGAAGGAATGTTTAACACATGATTCAAGACCGCGATATTAGTTGTTTGCGCGATGAGTTTTGCAATGTTGCAACAGTCGAATTAGTCAGTAAGAAAATCCACATATCGTGATCGATTTCTTTTATTGTCTGGCTCGTTGTAGCATATATTTCGTTTCGTATGCATGTCTTCTAGCGGTTCCTGTGACATGGGCACGAACTGCTGTCGGTCACCGTCTCCGCGCCTCCCGTCCAAATGTGGACGGGAAAAATGGCAGACAGATAATCCCACCAGCCCTTTGGGCGACAGGTGGTCTAACGACATTATTTCTTGCCTTTTTCACAAGACCCCTCTTCCCCTTCGGGGAGGGGTTTACCCCTCCCCCTACCCCCTACCCTGGACCTGGACGGGGGGGGGGTCGCAAGCAGTTGGGACGCCCGAGATGGCCCACGATGGCTCCAAGAGGGCCTCAGAGAGCCCAAGATGGCCTCCAAGATCGCTCAAGATAGCCCAACATGGTTCAAGACATCTTCCGACATGCCTTCAGGAGGCCCCTACAGGGCCACAAAACGGATCCAAGTGTTGTTGGACACCCTTTCAGGTCCTCCGCGGTAAGCCAAAATCCTTCAACAGCCCAAGGCAAAGCAATTATTTGTGCCTTCTCGCCGTTTCGTTCCCGATGCGCTTTTGAGGCCTCAGTATGGCCCCAAGATGGCCCAAGAGAGCGCCAAGGGGGGCCCAAGAGGCCTCCAAGACGGCCCTAAGAGCGCCCAAGATCGCCCCCAGAGGGCCCCAAGAGCGCCCCATTGGAGGGCTCTTGGGGGGGGACCTAGATAAAGGGATTCCCCCCTTTTGGTCGATGGCCTACAAGATGGCCCGAAGAGGCTCTCCGAAGCTCCCAGGAGAGCCCCAAGAGAGCGCCAACGGGGTCCCAAAGGGGCCCCATGACCTCCCAACTGGGACCCAAGAGGGCCCCAAGACCGCATAAAAGAGCCCCAAGAGAGCTCCGAGAAGCCTTCCCGGATTACCAAGAGGGTTCCAAGAGGGCCCCCCAAATTCCCAGAAAGCACCAACAGTAGCAGCAGCAGCAACAGCAGCCGCAATAATACCTCTAGATGGTTCCATGAGTCCTCGTCCGCGTCGTCCTCATCCTAGTCCTCGTCCTCCTCGTCCTCGTCCTCATCCGCGCCCTCGTCCTCCTATCCCTCCTCGTCCTCGTCCTCCTCCTGCTCCTCCTCCTCTTCCCCTCGCCCCGCGCGGCCCCCTGGCCCGAAAAAAACCTTCCGAAACCACCCCCTTGCTCCCAGAGATCTCTCGGTTCACCCTGGTCGCTCGCTTTGTTTCCCTAGATGTGTCTCTTCGTCCGTTTTCCCGTCAGCTCTCAGGGGCAGGGCTTCTGAATGGGCTGGTGGGGATTTTTTGTTCGCGAGCGCAAGCGGAAGGGCCGCGCGCCGTCCAAAGCCACAGCTAACAAGCAGGAGCCTAAATTGCACACGGGAGAAAGAAGCAAAGAGACAACAAGACAGCAGCGGGAAGAGAGACTAGCCGGGGCGAGCCGCGCGGCGCTCACGGAGGAGGTGCCGTCGGCAGCTGGCAACCGCCAGGGGGTGCACGCCAAAGCGGGGGGCAATGAACTGGCAGTGTGGTGTCCCGTGGTGACTGCGGCGTGGGCAAACCCGCGGGAGATGGCGGAAACCGCAAGCGGCTGCGCCTGTCCGAGGGGCAGCACGCGGGGGGCTGAGCGCGGCAAGGGCTACGCATCCCTGCAAGGTGAGCAAGCTTTCCGCGCGTCGGAAGCAGCCACTGTGGGTGGCGGCGGAACGAGCGAGTAACGACGATCGAACAGCAGTTCGCGCCGTGGGACAGGCACGTCGTAACCAGACTGAAGGCAGTCAGCCGCGCGTCGACACCAGTGAAATGGCCAGCTTGCATGCAGGCGCTCGACGGACGAGAGTCCGGATCGCCAAAGCCGGCAGGACGACTGAAGTGTCTGAGCCCGCCCGGGGAGCAGGGAGGAGGACGGCAGCGGGGCAATGCCAAGGGGGGCAAGGCGGGCTAGCCGAAGAGAGAGGGCCCAGGGGCGCTCCTTTGTGCCGAGCAGCGGCGCGCCTGGACCAGGGGGCAGCTCGCCGTGGCGGCAAACCGCGGCAGCGGGAGGGGAAAGGGCCACCGTTCTGTGCCGAGGCGGCGGCGGTCCAGCTGGGAAAAGCAGGAGCGAGGAGCGCGCCACAGAGGCCACGGCATCGAGGAGGAACACCCTGCAGTATTAGGCGCGAGCGCCAGGCTGCAGTAACAGCAGGGGGGGCGCGGAGTGCGCCGGGAGGGGTGCCCTGAAGAAGGGCAGGGGAGAGGCGGGGAGGGTGACGGGGGGGGGCCCTCGACCGTCCCCCCAGCGAGAGGGGGGGTGGCCGCGCCCAAGCGTGCTCAGCCGAGCGCGGGCCCCCTGCGGGCCCCTGGGGGTGCAGGAGTTACCTCGAGCAGAGGTGGAGCCCTGTGGGAGGGGGCGGCAACCACCCCACGGTGAGGCTGCAGTGTTGGTGTGGCGAGGACAAGCAGGGTGAGCAAGCAGCAAGCCCAGGGGGGAGTGCACGGCGGGGCCTCAGCGTTGCTGGGAGGCGACCTGGAGCATTTGGCGCGGCACGCCTGAATAACAGGGAGCGCCCATAGGAGCCTCGATGCCTAGGGAGGGGGGCAGTGCTGCAGGCCGTGGTGCTAAGCGAACCTGTGGTGGACGACGACGCCGTGAGCAAGGCCGAGGCCGAAGACAGCGACGTGCCGATGGAGCAGCGGCGCCTCTGGTTGCGCCCGTGCTCGAGCAGGTTGTGCAGCACGGGCCTGTGGTGGCCGCTGGTGTAGTGCTTGCTGTCGGCGAGCTGCTCGACTGTGGCGCAGAACGTGGTACAGTATGACGACACACCGTGCGTGTAGCAATGGGCGCAACCACCGACGTAACCCGCGAGCGGCCGCCAAGCACGCCGCAATGAGGGATGTGCCAGCGCTCGAGGCCGCGGTGTGGGGCGAGCATGATGGCCTTCGACGCCCTCGTAGGGCCGAGGGCGCTGTCAGCGACGCGGCGTTGGTCCCGCTGACCGCGTCGAGAGCGAGAATTTGTTTTCCCGCAAGCCATCACCACCAAACGAAGTTAACATGCTCTGGCTTGTATTCGTCGTCAAAGGAGACGCTGAAAACGTTTGAGACGTGTCGAAATGCACAACCTACTTAAACGTGCATCTGCGCCTCGTCCTTAGAAACAATAAAGCATTCGTGGGCTGCTACGTGTTCCTTCGGCGGTTCGACGAACAAAAACAACTTTAGGGCACGTCAATTCTGCATTGAATCTCCTACTCAAACTGTCGGAGGCCCGCGCGAATGTCTCGGATCGGCGCTGCACCTCCCCCCAGCCCGCGGAGCGCGCCTGGGGCGGCGCCGAAAGCTCCGCCAAGGGGCCCAACGCCGCTCCAAGAAATCCGCGCGCACCGTCGGGCGTCTCTGTCTATGCGCACACACGCCGGTCGGAAGAAGTGGGTAGA